TTATTTTTAAGTTGAAAATGAAAAACATCTGTCCTCTCTAGGTGTTATTTTTACACTCTGGATCCCTGTTGTTAAATAGATCCAGACTTCTACCCTGGACAACCAACTTAAAATAGAGCATTGTTTCCTTTGAACTGTCTAGTTTCTGCTGGCCACTGTATAACTTACAGACACACGTGATGGAATTTACAGACTTAAATGTTCTTTTTAAACTTGTGTATCTAATTTTTTAGTTTAGAATATATGATCTCCAGGAAGTTGAGAAAAGCTTCAAGATTGAGCATACCTATGTTCAGACAGGCAGCAATTAATAGAATTGAATATGTAAAAAAAAGAACTTTGAGGATAGTCCTCAGAATTTAAAATGACACTTATTTAGCTTATTTTAAATAAGGTATTTTAAATAACTTGGATTATTCATGTAAAGATAACTGTGGATTTTACTTTTTTCAAAGAATTTGTTTTTTTCCCTAGTTCATTTGTTCAATTTATTGTTATTAAAAGAAAAGTGGCAGACTTCACAGGCTTTTTATAGCTTCATGGTTAAAAAAAAACATAATTTGTTCTCAATATGTTGCAGCCCTGTTTTATTTCACTGTGTGAAGTAAAGAATACACAATTTAGGGAATAGTTTTGACAAACAACTGAAAACTTAACAATTGATGGCTGTTCTTGCCACAAATAGCAAACAAATTGACATAAACCCTTCTGAAAATTTGTGTTTTGAAATTTGATCTGAGAAACTGACTTTCTAAACAGGTTTTCTGTAACCTTAAGTATAAAAACACAGAACTGGGTCAGTTGAGAACAGATAGTGGAAGAAAGAATGTTTATTATTGTACCCCCACCCATGTGTTTTTGAAAATTTAACTTTTCTTTCTCTGACGTCATACTGAGCATGCTAAGTAATTGGATATGTCAACAGCAAAAACTTTTTAGTGCATTATTACTTGCAGTCAAGCAATTAAGCAGTAGATGTTGACGTGTGAGAAATTTAAATCAAAATATTACATTTTGGCAGTTAAACTAGTGGAGATGGAGTTTCACCTTAGAAAGTCCTGGTGTGAATGAAAATAAGTAATTAAAAATTACATTTAGGTACAAAATGAAATTTGGGGTCATTTAGTATATTTCAGAAACTGCCATAGCAGTCCGTTTCTTTGTTATTAATTAATAATTGTGTATTCCTCTCATATTTTACAGAATGATTTACATGTAAGTATTGAAATGGGTTTTTCACAGCTTGAAGATTTGATTGCAACGGGATTAAATACAAAAATGGTTTATTATTGTGATACTACTAATTCTTTTTTTAATCTTTGAGAAATGTGTCCCAAACTGCGTATTATTGGCAGTTGCACAACTATTTCCCCCCACAAATAAATGAATAATGAGTAAGTGAACACCAGACAAATATGTACATGTAGGTTTAAACTGGTGTATTTGACTTTTTTGTAAATAAAAAAGGTAATGAGTCACATGTTCTAAATTCTCAATACTTTAAGAATGCTCAAAAATTGTTTTTTTCCACATTTTTTTTATTTAAAATTGGAGGCCTTGTTGCCTATGGTATGAAACTTGGTATAACTTTTGTCACACTTGGGATTTATATAGGGGAAAATTTGACTTATGCCATGCCATGTATAGTAGATAAATTTGAAATTATTTAATTAATCAGGAGTTAGGTGGAGCACCAATGTGTTGTGCACTCAGTTCTTTTTGCATGTGTGGAAAGTTTTGCTCCTAGGCCATATAGTGCACGTGTGGGTTTGATGAAACTGAATGCACTTTGTACACTGTGTGTATTGTTTCCAGATTTTTTGTACAAGCCCCTCCCCTACCAGACAGAAGAGTTTAAAAAGATAAACTGTGGTAGAGGCAAATAAATTTTTATTTATTTATTTATTTATTTATTTATTTGAGTGAGTTACAGTCACATTTAATTTTTTTTTGTACGTTGCTATGATATTAATGATTTTGGTAAATTGGATGTTTCTTCTCTCCTCCATCCCCCACTCTTTCTCTCTCACTTGCTTGCCTGCTTGCTAAAGTATGGGTACATCAAGTTGGGCACGGTGTTTTGCCAGACATTTCTGGCAGTAACAAAATGCCAACAGTCTAAAAAAAAGCAAAAGGAGTCATGACTTTGTGGTTTCAGCAATAATGAATTTTTTTCTTAGAATTTGCATGATATATTTGTTCCAGATCATTTCCATTCAGTACACGACTGATACAATGTGGTTAGATGAAATTGTTAGCAGATGGTTAATTTTTAGTGCACAATTGCTGGAACACACTCCAAAACAAAAAAGTAATCCAAAAGTGTGATCAGCTGTAAAAAGTGGTTGTGATTTCACTGAACTAAACTTGGTTGTATGAAAATGTTTCTAGCATTCACAACTTCTTTGCACATTAATTCTATGACAAAATGTTTCTGGTTATGGATGGTGCCTTCAATTGTTATGTAAAGTAAAGGTGTATTTTTCTTTTTCTTCTCAAGGCACAAGAGCATCTCCTTAAAAACACAAAGTCAAATAATAGAGTCTTTTATTTTCATGAGAAATAAGAAATTATGAGCTACAGACATTAGTTGTAGCTTGGTCAGATAAATCACTTTTGAAGTATTGATATGGCATTTAGAAATGCCATTCTTATGGACTCCATTCATGAACACCTATATCAAGTTATTATACAGTACTGTTTTCTTTTCATATTTTCTAAACAAAGTGAATTGGGTTTACATATATAGTTAGTCCAGTAAAATTTGAAATGAATTACTAATACAGAATTGGTTAAAAGACTGTGACAAGTTAAATTAAATTTAGAAAAATAAATGAAAACAAATGACTCCGTGTAGATGCACCATATTTTATTTTAAATACTCCAAAATGTATCTTTTTCACAAAAGTAAAAGAGATTAGTCTGTTTTATCATACTGTAGCCAAGCTAGACTTTTATAATCCTTGTTGTATTTGCAACTTCTTTGGCCACATTTAAAAGTATTTTGGAAGATTGTGAACAATCTGTTGTGATTTTTTTCTTTTTGCTATTGCATCATGTTTAAAACACATGGTTTAATACACCATAACTTTTTGCTTTCAGTGCATAATTGCTAGAATTGTTTTGAAAATTTGAGAAGATGCATCCATGACATTTTCCAAGACAGTTTATATGAAATATGTGCAGTTCCAAAATTATTTGTTTTTAATTGCTCTGTTTTAAAGATTCAAAGTATATGGCTAAATAAATGGCTTTGATCATCTAGAGAGATCTATTGATTTGAAAGAAACTAGTTGGTGCTTGATTTTAAATGCATATAATACTCCCTGAAATCAAGACATTGCTGACAATATTGATATCTATCAATCAATCAAAAGGGTAGTAAATATTGATAAAATTGAAAAAAATATTAATAACCAAAAAATCTTGGCAAGTTATGGAAAATCAAAAGATTGCTTAATAATGGCCTGGCATATGGTTAAATAAAAGTTGACATGTTGACAGTGAACATGATGAACGCTGACTCATTGGCAGCATAAATTATCACTTTTTAAGCAAATGTTAAACAAATTATGAGATAGATACTTATAGTTATATCCAGTATACTTATATCAACACACTCTTACATCAACAGTATAAGTCTGAGGTATATCATTGACTGTGCTCAAATCAGTATATCCAACATTATAACAGTAGCCCTATAACAAATAGCTGTCTGAATATCAATGTCAATGTCACCCGTTTAAGTCTTTCACATTTTAAGAGGGTGGATGAAACCTTTTCTTTTAGGTGTTCAGCCAGATTTTAGATGGCACCTCACAGATGAAATTTTTTCGCTCATGGCAGTGGGCACTCCCCCATTGGTAGTCGTTGGTCTTATCTAGGTACATACAGCTTTCTTCCCGGGGCATTGGGGCCCCGTTGGGCCAGTTTGTGAAACGGAAGGTTTCATACTTGACCATTTTGGCCCAGGCCCATTCCTTAATGCCAACAAAGTAGTGGCCACTGGTCCACCAGCTGTTAATATGACCAAATTCTGAAAAAAAAATAGTTATAGAATGTTAATTTCAAGTTATTTGAAATATTTTTAGGTACAAGCTGTGCCTGTACTTACAGCCATCATTGCCACTGCCATGTCACTGTCAATGCAATAAATGACTTATCATTCTCACACTTTATTACTAGAGCAAATTATACCACCAAAATACAGGTTGTTAAGTTGAAATAGGAGCATTCTTGTACCAATTTTTGCTGAAAATATCCCTTTTTCATTTTTGCAGCATTATTTGCAAGATGATACATACCTTTTTTTTAACTGTAGATTTTTCTCAATGCTTTTAATGTATATACAAGTGTCACATAAATTATTTTCATCAGATTGATGTGATTTATAACACCAAAGTAATGCTTAACCTGAAATATAATTTTAACTCCAAAATTTGTATACTAGGGAAGTTAAAATGGCTTTAAAAAACCATTCTCCTTTGCATTCATTTTATGCAGCATACAATCTCCCTAAATTCACAGGGTAATTGTCAATATTTTACCTAATTCTTCCTGATATTTAAAGTTCTGTTGCTGATATGGCTGGTACATTTGACAGCTTTGCTGCCTACTTAAAAATTATTGATAATGACAATTATACCAGAAAATATACCAAGTTGGCTAGAAATGTCATTTCCTTCTTACTTTCTTTTTGAAAGATAAAAAATAAGATAAATGTGCTGCTTATCCCCAATCTGTCCAAGACTTGACATTTATTAGTAATCATTATTTTTGTTATTTTCTTTTTAATGGGCCATTTGAGACTGCATTTCTAGGTCAAAATGTAGAAACAATTTAACCCAATTTTGCAAAATGCTTTTAACTTAGTTAAGCTGTTGTTAGACTTGGCAACCATTCAAGTAATTCTGACATATAAATAGGACCTGTGTTTACTCCAGTGTTTTTTTTTCACCTAAAATCTTCTGATTCATGCCTCAGTTTAAATTTTTGCCACATGGCACTTTGTGTTTGAATGCAGTTTTTAATTCATTGAAGCATCAATGTACTATTGAAAGACATAAATATTCTTTATCATAAACATTGTAACCAACACATGCACAACAACCTCCCCCCTCCCCCCAAGAGATTTTAATGACATTCCCCCCCCCCCCCCGAGAGATTTTAATGAAATTTTATGGCAGTTTCATGCAAAGAAATGCATACGTGTAGCTTGCTCAAAACTTGAAGAATCTGGATTTGAATATAATTTTATAGGATGTTGGCATAGATTAACAGACAGCAAATTTTTATTGTCATCTGCCTTTTATTTTCCTTGCTATTTTTGTTCAAAGCAGACATGAATCAAAAACACCTGAATGTCGCATATTATGGTATAAATAAGCATTTTCACCACAATACTGCTGAATTGTCAGTGTATTACTTAATCTGCTATGGATTCTTTCATTGGTTTTAACAAAAACAAGGCTGATATAGTGGAGATCTGGTGTTTTACTTTGACTGAAGAGCTCTGTTTCATAAAACGATGTTGGTAAGAAAAAACAAGTGAAAAAATTGCAGGATTTAAAAACCTTTGTTGTTTTGTAGATGGCTTTTTGACAAATTATTGGGATTGCAGTGGATTTTACTTGTTACAAAGTGACTAAAATAATAGGAATAGTGTAATTTTTGGAGTTTTGGTATAAATAAAGGATGAAAGCTGTCCATTTCTAAGAAATGAAGTGGACTGATTTTAAAAGCACAAATTTTCAAGTTTTTTCATTATCGTCCATCTAGTTGAAAATAATCATGATTGTATGAGTGGTTCAAATTTGTATTTAAGTTGCATGTTTTTGAAAATATAGCATTAAAAGTTGTAAAAAATGAAGTACCTTACCTTGGTTATTGTTCAGCAGAAAGCTGAGAATGAAGTGTTCTCTGGTGGTGCAGATTTTGACCAAGGAGCCACCCATAGCAGAACAATATTCCATGGCTTTAGCCCAAGTGGTGTTAAACGTGGAGAACTTGTAGCAGGAGACCCAATTTTCGAAACCTTCAAAACCTTGTGGGCAGACCCCTGTATTTTGACTGGTTTTAATACTTCTCTCACCAGTGGAGTTACTTGCGTTCTCTGGCACATTTCCACAGCATGTGCGTGACTCCATTTTTCTAAGCATTCGGGTTACTTTGTGTTGAAAACTCTCCATCATTTTGGTCAATTTTCTCTCTACAGACGAAGATAAATGAGACTGAATAATCTTTTGTAGAAGATGCCTTGGAACAGAGCTATTGGTTCTCTGTAACATTTGGTTGATAAGCCTCTCTGTGACAGATAGCCTGGCACTATGGTCATCTATGTTGGACTGAGGAGCATCTGTAGGGTTCTGTCCAAGGTTGCATCCTCGTAAAACTAAGTCATAACTGCAAGTCGAAACATCATTGCTATTGCCACTGCCATTTCTTCCACTGCCCTCAGTGGCAAAGATTGTGCATGTAAGAAGTATCAAACCAGTTAATAGTGCCATTTGAAAGCACACAGCAAACAGCAGTTGTGAGAAAGTTATTGATGCACTCTGATGCAAAAAGTACACAAGATATGGGTTAAGTATGGAAACCAGTTAGAAAAAAGGCAATTGAAGTCAATAAATATGATGCACAAAGTCTACAGTGGCAAAATGTTAAAACCTCTGTAAGTTTGCGAAATCTTGCACTGGATCCTTTGGTTGCAGCTATTGCATGACAATATCTTTAACAGATTATGTCGAGTCTGGTAGCCAATCCAAAGGTTAAGTCTCTCAGTATGACTTAAGTTTATGAACAGTTATTGGATCTATTCTGTTACAAGTCTGTGGCTTACCACAAAGTCTAACCACCTCCTTGGAGACTGAAACACTGATTTGCGGAGGGAGTCCAAATTGCAGCTCTTATATACTCAACTGAGCTGTCATTCTTTCTCTCTTAACTAGGCGTTAACTGTCAAAAACTCCCATGTTTATCTTGGCAAGCTCTGCAGGTTTCTTTTTGAAGTGGCGAGGGCTTATTAGTGGTAAATCAAACAGATCCCATTGGTGCATATAAGCTACATGTGTTGCTCTGCACTTTACACTATTGTTCAACTATGACGATAAGACAAGCTGTAGGTCTGAAATAGAATATAGACTCACTAAACAGACTAAAAAGCCACAGAAACCACAAAATTACATGTTTTTTGTTCATGCAGTGTGCCCCCGACAAAACAAAATATGTATGTAGACATGTCCTTATTTTGTGTTCGTGTAACTTTGATTTAGTAATTGCAAATCACTGTTAAGCACAACCACAGAAATGTGCACGTGTTTGCAGTATGACTAGAAGTTATGCATTGTCTTGTTCCCTGCTGCCATTTTTTGGACAGGCAAAAACATTGTAAGGACCCATTCCTAATGGAACTAACATTCTGGGTAGATCGATCCAACTTCGAGGCACTCTTGCTGAATGCAATCTAATTAACTTAATGACACACTTTCTCTTTTTTCCAATGGAATTTGTATAAACACCCCTTTTTTTGTATTCTACTCAGTGCCAGGAGGAGGCGTGTTAATTTTTGTATCAGTTTGCATCTAGCTAGAGTTCCCACATAGTTCAATCTTTCTACTATCTAGTATCTGGTATCGTTGGGAATGGGCCCAAAGAGATGCTGATATTTGTTCATGTAACCATGTGGTGCTTCTATCTTACAGATCTTGTATTTTTTTTTTTTTTAGATATAATGGTACATTAAAGGAAATATCATAACTCCATAAGTAAATGTTTTTGTGTGTGTTTTCGTGGAACTGAAAGGAGATTTCTTAGTGTAGGTCTAAGGAATGGATATAATCATATAAAAATAGACTTAATTTTGCAATTTAATAGATTTAGTGTTTTTGTTCACCAAAAGGTCTTTTGTCAACGAGTTGATTTTATCTTTTGATTATAAAGTTGGAAGTCAATTTTGATACCTCATGATAAAAGGAAAATTAACATCACATTATTATTTTTTTCTGTTCTTTTTCCATTCCATGAAAGGTAGGAATTTATTTGGTTTGACAATATGCTTCTTTTGAAAATTGGAAAGTGAAATTTTTTTTAACTTTTAAGTTATTTTCATCAACAATTGTTTAGGTATGAAATGAGGCAAATAATGTAAAGATGGGTGACGCAGCTTTGACGTAAGAATTTCATGTTTGTATAATGTTTCATTCAAGATAGTTTGTGCACACAGACTAGACAAAATTCCTGTCAACCATTGGCTGCTGTACCCCCACTCCTGAATTGTAATGAACTTTCTCATGTTTTTGATAATTTGTGAAATGATTCACATGGAAAGAACACAGTTGGTGACCATAATATGTGGGTGTGCTGTGCATGTTTTAATGGTGTTTTGATCAAGACATTGCCTTAAAGATAATATCTTCCCTGTTTGGTGTTTACCTTCCCACAAAGCAGTATTTGAGGGGGTACTGGGAGGTTATTTATCTCAGTAAGCTGCACTTCTGTTTTGAACTAGATCACAGGAGATGGTATACACTATGTGGGTGTAACAGTTGATAGGGGGTTTTCTCTGATTTTCGCCATCAATAAACTATTTGCCTCTTTCATTTGATTCTGGCTCTTGATTAAAGGGGGTTGATTTTTAGTTTTTTTTTCTTTTATCTGTGGATGTGTGGAGGTGTGGGATTGTGCAAATGCTGTTGATTGAAATAAATTTTAAGTTGGGAGAAAAAAGATGATGAAAAATGGTGTCTTAATCATTTTCAGAAGTATGTTTTCTAGGAACTAAAAACAGTTTATTTGTAAATGATGATTACTGTCACACATAATAGATTGTGTTGAACACATATATCTGAAGTTAGCATACATAAGCACTGTAAAAATGATTCATGGACTAGCCTAATTTGTCTGGATAATTTTGGTGCCTAGGCAGCAGTCTTTGGGTCTTGGGTTATTAGGAAAAACATTGTCTGTTAGACAACTTTCTGTGGAACTCCAGTAACACCTGTTCCAATATGAGAGATTTTACTGCGTATTGCATTTATTTCTCATGTTTGAATGTTTTGTCAGCTTGCCAGATGCAGCTGTTTATAAAATATGCTTAAATGCAAGTTTCACATAGGAACGCTTTAACATGTTTAAAATCTCACCAAATCATTGAAAAATTTAATCTCACTGGCCCAAAAATCTAATAGTAATTTGCATAATCATGTGACAAACTGTGAACTTATCAATATTGTCAACAAAAGACACAAGTACATCCATAGAACCAATGCCAGTGGTTGCACTGCCAAAAATCGAGTTTATCTGGTTTATCAAGAATAGTAATATGCATCAAAGATCATGCAGTGTTTATCAAGATTTAAGATTTAACTTTACCATTTAAAAGACAGGCCAGTAAGTCATGGAATTTATTGAACTAATTGCTTTAAAGAAAGAATATTGAATCTCACACTGAATCTGACCATGGTAACTGAGCCATATGATTATTATTATTATTTACTGTTGTATTGTATTTTCACTCTGAATTTTTCTCTTCTTTTGGCAAAATTGTAATTGGATTATTGCCAGAATGCATTATTTTTCATGCTGAAATTAAGCTACTTAATTTATGCACATGGCAGTTGTAAAAACATATTACTAGTGAACACTATTTTTATAGAAATTGAATTTGTTAATAAATGGGAAAGAATATTGGCACAATTGTTCTTGTGTTTCTTCCATGCTGGAGGCACTCATCCAGTCCCTAGTTGATGCCATCCACATGTCAACATGAACTATGTTAACAACATCATTTATTTATTTATATATTTTATATCTTGTCACTTAATTTAATAGGCTGGAGTAAACCGGTTGAATTTTGGCCCTGGTCAGCGATATGACTATATAAACATCAGCATCATAGACAATGCCATCCCAGAAGATGACAAATATTTTTTGGTGAAACTTCTTAACCCAACTGGAGGGGCAGAAACAGGTCTTGGATCTACCATTAATATTACTATTGCCAGTTCTGACGATGCCTATGGAAAATTCCAGTTTACTTCTGATTCCCTGACTGCTACCGTAAATGAGACTGGTGATACTGGATTCACTGTTGTCAATTTTAAGGTAAGTATTAAGTATTATTAAGAAATGTTGGAAATAAGATTATTTATCTTTTCGTTCTCCATGAATTGAAAATAAAAAAGATATTATGTACCCAATTTTTACTATATTAATTGCATTTGGAAAAACAGTCAACAAAACTGTAGCATGTACATGTAAAGAGTCCTCTGATTGGCTAATTCTATTTAAGCTTGAAAAAAATTGTTGTATGGTGGACATCGATGGGAAAAATATTTCACAGAAACAGTACAACCATGGCAGGTGTTAAGATGACTCATTGTTAATGAGGGTGGGGGTACATTTTCCCAAGGGGCGACTCCCTGCCTATATGCACGTGTTTCAGGTTTGTAACTTCCACCTCCCCTATGTAGTTCTATTTAAAGCTCAGAGACCAGCCCACGCTGCATGTAAAGCTATGAACTATATATCCTTGCACTGCTTTTCCACTTTACACGTCATTTTGATGTTTCTTCTATTGATTTCCCAGAACAAAAAAAAAATCTCAAAAATACATGCACACATATCTAGAACATTTGCTTTTTACTTCAAAATTGTGATTGAGGCTAAATTTGGCTTGGGACATCTTCATAGTCATTTTGTTTGTAAAGAATCAAGGATGGGTGTGAAGGATATGAATGAAAAGCATGTGTCTTGTCTAAATTAAGTGCTCAGCAAGCAAGGACAGGATTTTTGTTTGAGTAACTAGTATGGTTAGATAAATAAATCAACTTTTTGTTACACCAAGTGATTGTGACTGTAGCTTTTTCAGTTTTAAAAGTTTTTATTTTTTTTTAAAGTGTTCCCGCCACTCTACAAAGGTCAGACTAATAAAAAGGGCCTCCCGGAGGGAAAGTTGTGTTACTTAAAAGAATTACAGGATGTTTACAATTGTAGTTTTTTTGCCTAGAGGGTGAGATTTTAGAAAACCTAAGTGTTGGAATTAACTTAACCAACTTGAAGTGCAGAGGGAGAAATGACAAATGGCATGATTACTCGGGACCAAGTGGAGCAGTTCTGGTGCTGTCTAGGTCTATACCAGTTTTCACTTTGACAGCACAAGTTGAACAAGTAGACTGCAGCAAGTTCAGCAGAGAATATGTATTCTGACAAAGCACAAGAAAGGTTAAATCTCATGTTCACTTTTTCTTGGAGCAGCTTTAAATTCAGTGCCGATTAAACCAAGGTTTTCAATCACTAACTTAAAGGTTGATAAGAATTTAGCAGCAACATTTGGATGTACTTGGCCCTTATACTGTAGTCAGCTGGCGTTTGTTTATTAGTTTCAAGTTAAGAGATTTGCCTAAATTTTCTTTTCAAAAATGTTCACTGTAGGTCAGGTGTATAGAGTTGAATGGGTACAAGTTTTTTTAAAGATTGAGGGTGTGAAACAGTACAAATGTATAGCCTTTGTGGAGTTATAAAGATAATTCTATTTGACAGAATTCTGACCAGGTTAAGGGCACTGATTTGGATGCAGAGTACCAATGAAAAGTATAATTGTGTTTCACATTTGTCCAAACAGACATTTGGCAGTACATGGTTTATTCGTAAAAAAGTTGGAAATACAGGAAAATTTGTGTTTCAATCCCTATATACACTTGGACAGAAACTGATCATTGGCACAGAATTTCTGCTCTGGCACAGATTTCTTGCAGTCTAATAATTGATGTTGTTTCTAAATGTTTCATTTGAAACAAGGGCCACAGTACTTCTCAGTGTTAAAATTATGATTGGTTCCCCAGAAAATGCTTATGATTCTTAAAATGATTATTATACTATTTATATCCAAACCCATGTGCCCTTAACCCCCTCCCCCTCTCCCAAGGAACATATGCACGTATGCCTAGTAGTTATGTACATAGAACCAATCAATTTGAAAATAAGAAATTAATTAATTGTCATGTTGCTATGAAATGATTCGATCTCTGCAGCAATGTAAAAATAGATTTTTGCTAACAGGATATTAAAGATTAAATTTCCACTTATTCCTCTAGGGAGATGCAACTTGAATTTGACTTTTCTTTGAATTTTTATCTTACTGTTCCTGACTGCCATGCTCTTTTCCATTTAATTCAAATGTATATGTATAAAATTTTTTTAAGGTATCACTCATTTAAATTGTTCTCATATCATATAATTGCACACATGTAACGTCTTTTTAAGGTGGAGAGGCTTGGTGGTAAAATTGGTTCAGTAACAGTTTTCTGGCAGATAGAAAATGATGTGGGGAACGACCTGGTTGAAAACAGTGGTTCGGTGACCTTTGTGTCAGGAGAAGAGACAAAGGTCATAGGGGTCAAGGTCAGAGGTGATCCCTATCCAGAATTGGATGAATTCTTTGTACTAAAATTGACTGGTGTCAACAAGGTAACAACCTTATTGTCATTGAAATGAAAATATGGTTCTTCCATTCTGTGTTATTTTCTTGAGATCAACATTTAAATAAAAGGGGGGAATTGTTTTTAGTCCATAAAGTAAATATGTATGCTATTGACCTTGTTTGAAGTACTAAGTGAAATGTCAAGTCTTGCGATACTATCAGACTGTCTATACTCATGGGTGTTTCTGCAAAACTTATTTCATCATAATAGTAAATTCTGTGTGCATATTGTATTTTTGATGCTGGAATGTTCTTGTTTACCTAGTCCAAATCAAGAATATTAGAGTTCATTCTCATCCAAATGTCTGAAACAGCAGGAAACCATTGACAGAATCCCTTTCAAACAATGATCATATTCAAGATTGTATTATCCATGGACAAAGAATGATCAACTTCTTTGAAAACAATGTTATTTAAAAAAGAATGAAATAAATATGATTCACATATATTTAATAGGGAGAATTAGGGAACTCCTTCAGACTCCAGGCAAACCTTACTGTTTTATCAAATGATGATCCATATGGAGTATTCACAATCACTGACAACAACAGGCCAATCAGAACAGAGGAAGGAGACCATGGTAATGATATTAAGAATTTGTTAGTCTCATGCTCTTTTTATTCCATAAAATGTATGTTTTAGTTAAGATTTATATAATGTGATCTTCTTCAAAAACTTTTTCAAAATTTATTACATTTTAAATTTAATTTAGAATAATCACATTTTAAATTTTAGGCATATTAGACTTTCTGTTGCTGGACATGCACATTATTAAGGGTCAAGTAAAATATTTCAATTTGATGGCTTTTGTAATACTTAAAATCATGAGAAAAAAGTAAAGTTCAATTATAAGGATAAATACACTTCACTAAATTGCTAGATCAAGTTTTTACCTAAAATATGTTATTGGAAAAAAAGTTTATTTTAGTGCACTTAAATTGTTTTTGTCTGGGATAAATATATATCAGATGACATTGTCTGCCCTTAATGAGAATCCAGTGTTAGATAAATGCATTTAGGGCAAAAATAAATCAAAATGTTGGACCAGCACATGAATAAGTTAACTGTTACCACCATAGAAGTTGTTTACCAGAAATGTAAGATTTAAGGTGTGGGCCTACAAAGTGATTTGCCCTTGATCGCTTTGATCACACAAAAAGTCTCGCCAGTTTGTTTGACAAAGAAACCCAAAACTGAGGCTGTGTTGGTTTTTCTCATAATTTAAAATAGACATGGGTTGCCTGACCTCAGTTCCTGTTTACTGAAAATTAAAACTTCTCTAAAGCCATATGCTGACCAGGACTTTTGAATAGCTGGTGGATTTTTTGTAAAAAGGATTAAAAATGAAAATTTGGGAAAGCATTTGGGATTTCTGTTAATTGGCTTTTAAGGATTGAAAAATGTTTTTTTTTTTGTTTAATGGATCTTAATTAGTTATCTCATATTCTTTTTTGCTCACCTTTGGGTGATAGAAAAAAGTCGAAGAAATGTACTAGTTGACCTTTTTTTTACTACTGAAAAGTACCTTGTTTTCTGTACAAGTTGTACCAATGACATTTTGATCCAGTTTTCAATAATCATTGAAACAGTTATCAAGCCATTTCCTGTCAAAAAAGCACCTAGTAAGCAGGATTTGATAGATTTATAGTTACTGCAATTATTCGATAGCACTTGTTTCACTGAATCTATCAACAAGCATTAAAATGAAGTGGCTGAGAATAACCGTTATCTCAACTTTAGCTGAAAATTAAATTAAAACTGAAATTGGAAAGTGTTCTGTGGTGGAAAAAACGCAATGGTGCATGTATAGAATCCATGATAAATGAAGTGAAGTAAATATCGAATATGCAGAAAATACTGGGAAAAAATGAGTTACTATAGTCTTCCATCCATGTAAGCCACAACTTCATATTGATTTAACTTAAGGTTAAATTCCCTTGGTAATGGTTACAGAAACTATCTTTAAATATTTTCTGTTGAGTTGTTTTATATTACCCTGCCTTCTTTAAATAACAACAAAGGATATTAAATCTTTGTTTTTCTGGTCTTTGCAATTGTGCCTAACATGAAAAATAACTTCTTTGATTTAATTTTTTAACAGTTGTGACATTAACAGTACAGCGGCAACAGGGTTTTGTGGGTTTAGTTCGAGTCAACTACACAACACTAGATGCAACTGAATATTATAACTTCCTTCCTGGGTCAGTTGCACGTGCCAATAAAAGTGATTTTGTTCCTGTGAGCGGCTATGTTCAGCTGGGACTGAACCAAAATCGAGAAGACTTTGACATCCATATCAGAGATGATCAGATTCCAGAAGGAGATGAATCCGTGTTTGTCCGTCTCACTTCAGTTGAGTTGATCTCTGGTGGACAGAGTAGACCAGGTAAGCAGGTGAAAATGGTGCTTACCGTGGGTGCCTCTAATAATATGAATGAGCCCTGTGTTCAGCTACCAGCCTTTCTTGAGAGATGTAATTTTTTTCGCCATTGAAGGATTACCTCCTGTTATGTGAAGAAGGAAAGGATCTATAAGTATTAAATGAATGCCAATATAAATTTTCCTGTAATCTTATAAATTATTAATTCCTATATATTTATCTATAATTATCTATTGAGCATTGCAAGTTCTACATGCTGATTGTCATTGCCAGTGAAAGGAACTGCATGTGTAAATCATGCAATTTAATTGACACTTGTGCCTTCAATAGAATCCGGTCCAGCAGATCTGAAAAACACCTTGGCTGCATTGCCACCAGGTGATACCTGTATTTCCTGAGCCATATAAACATTTATGCATGGTTACTGTCCTTATGAGAATGGAGCGTCTGAATTCCCATCTCTGTATTTATAATATTTTTATTGTTGGTTTTTAGTGTCCTTTTCTCCTCGCCTTGGCCCAAACCAACAAACCTATGCTCAGATTATCATCAACCAGAATGACAATGCAAATGGCATCCTGGAGCTGTCAACAGCCTCTGTGGCTGTGTCAGAGAACTTTACTGGCTCCATAGTTGATGTTGTACGCAAAGAAGGCTCTTTTGGAGAGGTTTGTGTTCCTGTTCTCTTATTCTGTTGCTTTTGCTTTAACAAGTGTTTTAACATTGAAATGTTTAAAGATATCTAAGTACAAAATTTGGATGAATTCTTTGAAGAATTGCACTTGCAGCACTAAAATTATTGTGATAATAGTAATAGTCATTTGATTAAAAGTCCTTTTATGATCTGCTGCCTTAGTGTAATACCTTTTAACTTTTCATTTTTTGCCAAAACTTCAGAACATAATCACGCATATCATGTTTGACTTAAATTTAAATTTTTAAAGATTTACTTTAAAAGTGCCCCATTTTAATAATTGTTATAGGTGAGTGTGAAGTTTGAGGTGATATCAGGCACAGCTGTCAACACCGTGGACTACAGTGTCACCTCCAGTGATGTCATCCTGGCTGACAGGGAAAGGAGGAAGAGAGTTCCCGTGGAGATCAACGATGACAGGATCGCAGAGTTAAACGAAACCTTTACTATCCGCCTATTGCCACAGATTACAGGAGGTGCTCAGCTGGGAAGGCTGATATCCACGCAGGTCACCATTTTGTCCTCTGATGATCCCAAGGGAGCTTTTGGTAATTTTTCTTCTTATTTATTTATTTATTACTTTTTCAGGAAACATTACTTGGTTCATTTTCCAGTATACTCATACATGCCTATGAGATGAACCAGTTTTTGTTACTTATTTTTATGTTCAGAGTCATCATTGTCGAAAGAGCTAGTCTTACTCACTGTTGGTGAAATAAATCTTTAGAATTTTGTCTTATGATATTTTTGGCCTTGGGATGTATTCATAAGTTCTGTAGCTTGACTCAACTTTTAAGATTTGACACCCTATTTTATGTCTCCTTTGGCACTGAATAAATGAAAAACTGCTTGGTGGAAAATTGCATGAAAAGATCAATAGTCAAGTGTTACATAACCCTGCCCTTGTATCCTGTCTTTTCTGGCACACTTACTCACTTAATACAGACTTTTCTTGAATCTCTTGCTGTGTTGGGCCTGTCTGACATTCATTTTGGCAGAAAAGAGAGTAACTTAAGGGATTTCCCAACCCTATTTAATGGATTGTATCCAAATTTAAGATAGGCAAAGCAAAATGGTGTCAAAAGTCGAATCCGACACAACTTGTTCATTACATTAATCGGGGTCAGGTCAAAATGCTCATTTTAGTAATTGTAGGTTAAAGTATACACCCATTGAGGCAAGAGCTATAGCAGAACATGTGTTGACATAATGTTAGCTAGAAATAGCACATTGTCTCAGGTACATAATTGGATGTCTGTGTCTTCAGACAAGTTTTTTTTCTGTTTTCAGAATTTTCCACATCTGGCAGTAGTGTAGAAGAACCCGAGTCACAGTCGGGACAAAGTGTGGAAATCACTGTCAGCAGAATGGGCGGCACTCTTGATGTGGTAGCTGTCCAGTGGGAAGCTACTCTCAATGGTTAGTATGGCATTGTTGACTTCCAGTTTGTTTTTTCAGATACCACCTGTCATCTGATACATGTTTCAAATAAAATGAAAAATGCAAGTAATGGATGTATTGAAATATGCACTGCTCTGCTGATTTATACATCCCAATAAAATATCCATGATTATTCAATAAATTTTTATTTAATTCGAGAAATGGTATTGCCTCTGGCAGAAAAAAGATTTACTCAATAGCTTTTTAACATCTCTGTGGCACTCAGTACAAATATTATAGCCCAATCAGTCTTCTGTATCCTATTTCCAGTCTCAGATGTACATCTTGCCCAACCTCTGAAACATGGCTCAATCATTTGCCTGTGACACTCCAACCATTATACATATTTTGGAGGAGGCTCAAATGAAATAGTCCATTAGATAACAGTTAGAAATCCAGTCTTCCTTCTTTATAAATTCAGACACAGCTTATTATCTGAAAATGAATCTAATTTGTGATATGGGATATGACCTAATCTTTATTGAAAATCTAATAATCATCTTGTTTGTGAGAAATTGAAATTTGAAGTTCTGTGTGTCTTCTGTCCACCAAAATGCAAGTCCTTCTAACAAAAAAAAGTTGAAAATTTGCTAATCAGCAAAGTAGGATGTACTCAGTAATTCAATAAGAAGTTAAGAAATTGGTTTGTTATCAATGTTGACTTTATACATTAAGATGATATTTCATATTTGAAGTCAAATCACCAGGTCATTTAGGTTTCCAACTCATGATAATATTTTGTACCTTTATAATTGTAAATATGTGTTCATATGATGGGAAAGTGTAGTTTCTCACACCTAAGGCTGTCAGATTATGTGATCTTAACATTCAGCATTTTCCCCACCTTTTTTTGCTTAATAAGTCACACTTGTTTCATCACTTTAACAGACAGCTTGATAAATTGTTTACCTAGGGGTGTTGTTTTAAATGCGGTTAGATTTTCTTAGAAAACTTTTGGGAGTCAGCAACAGTTGTGCTTTGGCAAATATTTAGAAAGCACTCAAGAATTTGGCAGTATCCATGTGTGAAATGGTTAATAGAGGGAATTTCCCAGGTGGTTTTTACCAGCCTTGGTACCCTGGATACTCAATAAAAGTTACTGGCCATTATTACATTACGGAGACAAAGCAACATTGTCTGAGAGAGGTGAACTCATATAATTAATTTTTGTGTAGCAAAGAAATTGGCACCTTCTGTGCACGTGTTGAAAATCTGAATCCTTTTTATAAAGAAACTTTTAGTGTAAACACATGTAATAACTCTATTAAATCTGCACTACTAGTGTAATTGTAAACACAGGCAATTTAAGCACTCTAGTTCTGGCTGGTTTCTGTCTGTTCAATTTCATAGGTCCATTCATTGTCTATTAAAACCATAACCCAGCAACCTAAAATGCAAAAACACTGACCTGAGAATGAAGTATTTTGAGCACTTGTAACCAATAATAAAGATTTCACAAAAGCATTTTTCATGACTCTGACGTCAAATTAGCAATGTTATCCATTCATTGAAAATTAACAAAAGACAATGGTAGGTACATTAAACAGAGATCATGACGTAGCAAGGCATTTTGCTTTAATTTGTTAAGAAGTTACGATTATGTTGTAATCATTCACAGGGACCTTTACCCCTTTAGGGTATGCTGCACTGTGTAAGTGCTGGCTTAATTCCAGGTGAATGAGATCTAAATCTTTTCAGAAAATTAAAAAGTCATTGCCCTGGGAATCTATAATTTAGAGTCTTAAGATGTTTTCTGCTTTTATTTATGAAACTTTGTCAATCAGTGCATACTGAAATAAATTTAGATAATTGCCTATTGAACCAGAAAGAAGAAAGCCTCTTAGTTAAAGAAAAATTCCTTCAGAAAATTAAAAAGGAGTATAATATCTTTTGAATCTATGAATTATATCTTTGAACACTTGGAGGAATTTCTAATGAATCATTGTCAACCATGTCCAAGAATAATAGGATAATTATATTATTGAACAAGAAACTTCTCTTAGCAATGTTCGTAGATTGCAGATGTGTAGGGAAGAGTAAACAATTTGTTTCTTTCATAGTCTCTATGGTCAGAAGTAGATAGAATATAATTAAATGTCTTGAAAAGACATTAAGTAATAAGTAATAAAAACCACTACATCTAACCACTAACCACTACATCCTACGACAATGGAATAGACTGATAATGGAATAGACGGTGGGGAATTGGAGGTCATTGAACTTAAACCAGAGTTTACAACAGCTTAACATTCACACATGGACTTTAAGGCACTCTTACTGGGAGGAATTAGTTTCAAGTGAACATGGAAAAGATATAAGTATTTCCCTGATTTTAGTGTTTCCAGGCTTATAACATCTGGGGATAAGATCCCTTTTCTTAGTCAAAAACCATCTTGTCAAGAACAGATTGTGTGTAGTTATTTTTCTTAGTTTTTAGGTTTGACTTTTTGTTTCATGCCATTGTTTTTTTTGTTTTTTTTGTTTTTTGCCTTTATTATTTAGATCTGAAATTTGCTGATTTTGCAAATGTGCTGAAAGCTTTTCAATCAAACAGAAAAATACTTTGCTGCAGTTCCTCCTTTATTCATCCCACTTCATTTGTCTGACCTTTTTTTATTTTTTGTAGACATCTAACCATGCATCATGGCTTTTACATTAGACATTGATATGATTATATAAAAAATTTACCTTAAGTTCAATCTTGTGCCATGTTTATTACTTGGGATCAGATTACAAAAAAGAGTGAAATAAATGAGGCCTGGATAGGAATAAGAATCAGAACATTTCACTGCCCTGGAGGAGAGCTAAAATGCTATTAACATCCCTTGGATGATTTGTGAAATGAACATTTGGAGAAGTTCTGGGAAAGAACAATGAAAAACCCTGGGTAAAGATGTGTTTGCCTCTTATTTTGCATTTTATAGTAGGTGATGACAAGACAAATTGAGTTATGTACATTTATAGGGTGTAGATGAGGTACTTTGTGTTGAAATTAGTGTAAGTTATTTGTCATGGCTTGAAAGGTTTTGGTTTTTATTGAAGATCATCAGTGACAAAAAAATGACAAAATTTGCAAAAATCAAAGTTATCATTTCAGGCAGTTGATCAAAAGAAAGACAAAAAGTTTGAATAAAAATTAAAAAAAAAAGGGGGGGATGTATCTTCAAAATTAGAACCAATAATTAAATTCTAAGTCTGTTCCCTCTCATTAAGATCAAATAATTTTCATAAAGAAAGAAAGTTAGTCATTGTATAACCGGATAAGGGGGAAAATAATTATCACACATTAAGGACCAAATTTTGTCTTTTCCTGTTATTATATTTCTTCCCTCTTTTCATAACTTCAGGTGTTCCTGCCACAGCAGACGTCTCCCCAACTCAGAGCACCATCTACTTTACCAGTAACCAAGCCAGTGAAAAGATAGTCATTACTGTACTGCCTGATGATGAACCTGAAGACCAGGAGGTACAAATAGATAAAGCAATATTCCATTTCTTTTAACAATCCTTCTTATGATTATCATTTAGGATGATGACTCTTTGTGTTAGAGGTTAATTTTTACATTTGTTTTTTGAAAGACAAAAATTAAAACCATAGACGGCTGGCAAATGTTAAATCCTGTGTGAAAAGTGAGTAGAACTCTCATTGTAAAAATTTATAAATTTAGACCTCGGAATGTTAAATCTAAAACTTCATTCTTTTCAGGACATTTTGATAACATTGACTGCAGCCACTAATGGAGGTAGGGTAGGCAGCAGGAATGTGTTCAGACTTACCATACTGCCCAATGATGATCCACATGGTATTGTCCAGTTTGAGCAGGATAGGTTTGTCCTTAAGGAATTGTCTGCTGATGACACCCAGCACATCAAACTAACAAGGAGGTAAGTTAGACTGAACTTAAGATCACTTTTATATCTCTCCTTTCTTGTCTTTTTTTCTGTTTTTACTATTGAAATATATATTTTGTCTTAGAAATCAGAGGCCATTAGTGGTGTTAATGTCCATGTTGATCCTACTAATACAAGCACCCTGATTAAATAGAAGAAATGTTGTTCATTGCATATTTTAATGAAATTAATGCATATCGTCAGGTTTCATGAATAAAATCAAGTTATTTACTTAAATTAACTCAATTTTGAAAAGTTAGAATAATCTACTTTATCTTGATTACATTTTAGATGTTGAGTCAAATCTTTTTATGGCTAATTCTTACATAATCTCTATTCAGTGGTGGTTCCTTTGGACAACTTAGAGTATCCTATAGTACAGAGCAGGTGGATATCCTGGCTATAGTGTCTAACCAGGGACAGGACATACTTGACTACTACACACAGCCTGTCTATGGGGCTAATACACCACAGGATGGATTCAGTGTGGATGTGAGTGGGGCACCAGAGCCAGTGGAGGTAGGAAAAGATTTATTGCAGAAAAACATTTTACAATATTCAATCACAGAAATACGCAGTCTCTAAATTGATAGAATGATACACTGTCTACTTGTTATCTGGACACTTTTTCATCATAGTCAGGGTTTTATTACTGATAGGTTTTAAAGGTCCGATTTAATTGCAATTGATACTTCAGAATGGCAAAATTTGATAAGACCATTATTTTTGATGCGCATTTTTCTGTATTGATTTCCGTCCACTCTTTAAAGTAATATGAATGGCCATTATGCTGTTCTGTATTGCTGTGTGTTGTTGTTTTTCCAGATGTGTGCAAGAACCTGTCTGTCTACAAGAGCCTGCCTGGTCTTCCAGTACAACTCCACTGCAGCAATCTGTACATGGTTTACCTCTGGAAGAAATGACAGCTTCATGCCTGCTGCTGATGTGCGCTATTATATGAAGAATGTTACCAAAGTATGAGCATTATGTGAGATAAGGAAGCTTTATAATTGTATTTATTGTGATATGATCGTGCGGGATGGTGAGACCAGATGTTTTAAATATGTGTTATCAGGCAATATTTCAGTTAAATTTTTATTATAAGTATTGAGTGAGTCTGCCAGTGTAGTTAAAGATGCATACAAAGCCAATATTTTGCCACAAAAACAGACCAAATGCCAGCATATAGTTTCAAGTAGTATATCTAAGAGAATTACCAAAAGGCACCGTTTAATTTTTCCCGAAAGTGATGTTTGAACGGATTTTTCTGCTAGCATTCTATGCTGTATGTCAATGGGGCAGAAAAGTAGGTCACGAATGTAGGTTAAATTTCCGACCAAAAATTTAAGGAAAGGAGCAGTCTGAAGCTCTTTTATGGCTGATCAAGTGATCTATTCAGTTTATCCCTTGGCATGTCAAATTTATTTGAGTCGTATAAGAAACTAGTAGAAGTGGTTTGGATGTGTTACTGGGAATCCACACTCCACCAATGCTCGGTTCGTATGTACCTTTAACGTTAAGATTTAAGAGCATTGTATCAAAAAAATACACAAGGGCCAGACAGAAAATAAATTTTAGATTTACCATATGTTTTTATTCTCAAAAAATAATCTTTAATAAATAAATATAAAAACATATGGCAACAAATCCATCACATTAAATGAACTTCAATTGAGCATAGTTCAACCCATGAAATAAAAATGAACAAAAATTGTGACCATTTTATAAACACTCCAGCATACAAAAATTAAGGCATTTGTTTTGCCTGTTTATTTATCAGTGTTTTAATTTTTTTACCAGGCAATGACCCTGTATGACATCCAGGCAGAATCAGGTCAGGACTACACCCCAGTGACAGGTGCCTCTGTTATCATTCAAGATGGAGCCAGCTCTGGCACCATCCCAATCCAAATCCTTGCTGACCGTCTTCCCGAGCTGGACGAAAGATTTTTGGTCAGACTGACCAACGTAGAATTGGTCAGTGGTCCACCCAGTAATCCACGAAACAACCCCAGACTGGGCAATATCCAAATGGCCACTGTGGTCATTGATAAGAATGATGATGCCAATGGAATATTTAGTATCTTCAGTAATGACCCGCGTGCTTTGAATGGAGGAAGGGTGGTGGAAGTGGAGGAGAGAGAGAAACTGTTTGTAGATCTGGTGGTAGAAAGAGGAGGTGGGTTGAAGTGCCGAACATCATAACAGAATACTGTAAATCTTTCTTCATATACCTTTAAAAAGGTTTTTGAGTAATGGCAAAGAGTGATTATTAATACACACACATGAAACTACGATGTGGGAGTGATCAATTTTGTGGATGATTAGAAAAATCTTTATGGATGGGGCTGTTTTGTTTTTTGATGGATAAAATTTAAGAAGAATATGTACAACATAATATTAACAAGAATTGATAAAAATGTGAATGGTTTTAGAAGTTTTTCCAAAAGAAGTGTTTATTATAGATAATTATCTGTGGACATTATGAACAATGAATTACTATTCACCTTTTGCATTCCTCTTTTTGTATATTAAGATGTAATAATACTTTTTTCACTTTGTGTGTATTCTTACTGAACTGAATCCTCCTACAAATTTTAACCTTATATTTCTTCAATCCTGTATATCTAGTTGAGTACATTGATCCACATAAGTAGATCTGACTTCCTCTCATATACATTTTTACACTTTAATCTTTATATTTGTCAGCTTTTCTGTGTTTTTCTCTTTTTGCATCAGGCTTCTTTATATCAGTGCTGATCTAGAGCTGGTTCAATACATTGAAGTTATTGGGACTTCAGGATTAACAGTTTTTTGTATTGGTGAACTGCTATATCAAGACAAGTGCAATAAAATTATAAGCTGTTTCTTGGTTGATACAGAACAGATGTAGAGTAGTCTGAAGTGAACAGAACTTTTTTTTCATCTTTTCTATGTTATTACGTGTATCTTATCCATGTAAATAGGTGATTTAAGACAGATGATAATCATTCTAGGTGGTAGTATTGGTGAAGTGTATGTAATGTGGTCAGTTGATCAGTCAAGGAGCAATGCTACAAAGGGTATAGACTTTATTGCTGATGGGGCCAGTCTTATATTTGGACCAGGAGAGACTAGACGAGGTACAGATTTTTGTAGTTACTGTAGTAGTAGTAGTAGTAGTAGTAGTAGTAGTAGTAGTAGTAGTAGTAGTAGTGCATGTAGTAGTAGTACTGTAGTAGTAGTCATAACATTTAAGTGTGCAAAACTTTGAAAGGTGGAAAAATTATTGTTTAGTTTGAAATATGTGTAATTAATGTTTCATCCTAATGATAAAAGTGTGTGAATTGCATGCAGTTGTCTTATTGAAAAGCAGTTGGTTGTAAGTGGTTTAATCTGTTCTATTTTAAATTTTCATTTTTGATTTGTTAATTTATAGGGACACCATTAAATAACATATCATGTTTCATTCTAGCTCTTACCATTGGAATCATTGATGATGATGAAGCAGAAGATGATGAGAACATTCTCATCTTTTTATCCAACCCACAAGGTGGTGCTGTGATAGGTCCAAACAATACAGTCAATGTGATCATCATGGCCAATGACAACGTAGGAGGAACACTTGGTTTTGCTCAGAGCTCTGTACTGGCTAGGGAGGGTAAGGAGAATATGAGTTAGATAGAGTTCTTTGCAGTGTGCACTTTTCCTGCTATTTTACTAATTTCCTTATGTTTATTTTAGGGAAATAAAAGGGGAATTGCAGAATACATTATATATTCTTGTATAAACTAAAGATGTAATGTTCTCATGTATATGCATGTAGTCTGACAAATTGTTCTCATTCAATCTCATTTTTATTGATTTTAACAAGGGCAGCCATTCTTTGTAAAAGATCTCTATTTGCAAATTGTTATAATGTTTTCGAGAATTACTTGGTGGTTAGAAAATTGGGAAATGATTTAAAATGATAATACCCTTCCCAGGGGATAACCTGACAATGGTTGTTCAGAGGAGTCGCCCAGCTCGTGGTAACGCCAGCATGGAGTGGGAAATCAAGGGTTTGAATGGACTGGACCCTGCTCTAGGCTTCAGGGTGTACCAGGGGTCACTGGTCTTTAAGGAGGTAAAATTGTGTGATATTACATTATTTTATTGATAATTTGAGGGATATTATATTTTTGTGCAGTAGATTTATGTAGTTTATTTTGAGCAATCAGTTCATAGTCACTGTGATAATTCCAATTTGAAATGAAAATGCTAATCGTTGTTTATTATATCAGAAGTAAGTTGTTTTTGATATGCCTCCTATTTATTCAAAACATATTGTTCAAATTAAGGAAACTTTTGTTTTGTTCCTAATTGATCCAATTATGTTAATCAGGGTGAATTAGAAAAGACCATATCATTACACATTCTGGAAGATGCCACTCCAGAGGTCAATGAAGAATACCGCATTTTCCTCAAAAATCTTGTTACATCAGGTAAGCTGTGGCTAAGATATTATTGCATGATTTATGACTTTCATTGTTAAATAAGAAATGAACAAGGATTTGCCTTTGTTTTTTTTAATACTTATGAAATACAAAGAATACTACTTTTTGAGAAAATTTATGTTGTGACTAACACAGTTTTACAACTCCTGTTTGTCACAATTTTCACGTTTGTTTGTTTGTTTGGTCACTTATTTTTTTATTCAAAAATGGAGAGAGTAAGTATCTATCAAATGGTAAAGCAAAAACCCATATTATTCCATCCTTACTTTTAGCTGAAGTCGTAATTTTAAGTATCATTTTAACTGTGTTATATTGTTCCATGTGTCTGTAATCTAATGAATGGATTTTATCATGGTATGTATCTGGACAAGAACTGAATATTAGTAGACAATATTCCTTTTAGATTAGTTGCTGAAATTAGCACTTAATTTCTCTTATAGTTTTTTGTTTTGGGCATTTATTTTTATTGCTTATGGATGAAAATAAAAGATATTATTGGTTTAATTAGATAAAGTAGGATGGCCTTTCATCTGCTCCTGTCTTATTTCACTACATATAGTTTCTTGAGAAGGACATCTATTGCATGACCTGGCAAGCAACAACATAAAGGATCATAAAATTAACGCCAACATTTTTTTGAAATTGTTTTTCAATTCGTGAATTTTTTTCTTTGATCAGGCTGATCATGACTTCCATGCTATTTTATGTTTTGTTTTACATATCTTTTCTTTTGCTTTACAGGAAGGGAAATGTGCTTTCTCTCATTGGAAGTTTTTCATTTATGTTAACTTTCTACTATTGTTTCAGCACAACTTCTTAGATGTGTGTGTGTATGCATTTGACCAAGATAAATTGATAGGACTACAGAAAAGAAATAGAGTCTTCTGTATCAGTGGAATGAAGTCTTTGATTTGTTTTCAGTTGTATTTTATGGACATACTGATTAAGACATTGAAAATTCTAACTTTTCACAAATACAATATCTTTGTTGATTGTATATAAATTTATATTTTTATTAGGAGGGTATTTAATCTTAATGTATGTAAATATACAATTTGCAACATTAGAAGTAATTCCTAATGACTCATTTGTGTTTTGAGACAATCTGCTTGATATGGGGTTGATGAAAAAAAGGGGGGAAAATGTACATTCAACATTGTTCTAATTTCCTACAACATCTCATTTTTAGCTTGTGTTGCAAAGACAGAAATTACTTGTGACATGATTGACAAAGATTTCAATATGAAAAAAATGAGAAAATCAAAATTATTTATCAATCGCTTCAGGTGTACGACAAACAGGAGAAGCCATCTTGGATCCCCAGAGCTACGTGGCCAGTATTACAATCCAGGGCAGTAATGATCCCCATGGCGTGTTCCAGTTTGCCTCCAGCTCCATGCTGGTACACACACCAGAGGCCAATACCACAGTGCAGCTCATGGTGGACAGAAAGTTTGGAGCTATAGGTAACTTGAAATAGTAACATTGTGGCTTTTGGATATGGCAAGTGTTTTATGGAAGAAAATATAGACCAGCCACAGGGGTACAGTTCTCAAATAATAGGACAGTAAATACATCTTTTGAGCAAAAAGAAAGAAGATGAAATTTGAAAATGTAAACAATTGTTGCTCAAGGTAAAATGCAACTGTAACCCAATGTATCATGCAATGGTCAGTGATGAATGAGCATTGAAGTATCAGAATATATGTTTGACTTTTCAGAATTAAATAATGCCTGTCTTGTTTTTCAGGGGACATCCATGTATACTATGAAATCAAGAAAGGTTCAGTCAGTAATCTGAATGTGAACAAAATATTGGCAGAACCAGGTCAGGACTTTGTTCCCAAGACTGGCAGTATAGTTATCCATGATGGAGCAAACTCTGGTAATATAGAGGTCCAGATTGTAGATGATGAGGCCCCAGAGGTGGATGAAGTGTTCATTGTTAGTCTGACCAGAGTGGAGAAAGTGAACCCTGATAACAGCACATTTGAACCATCACTTGGTAGGTGTTAAGCCATATTTCCATTCAGGTTGGTTCCGCCTATCTTAGTCTGCTTTGTCTAATTATGATGAGTTTATAATTGCCTTAGGAAATCAATTTAAAGGCAGGCAACTTATTTATGGGATTAGAAAATAAAGAACACATTTTTCTGCTGCACATCTAATTCAAAGTCAACAATAGCTTTTGCTTTATTTCTAGTGATGAAATAGATAAGATACAATATCAATAGCAGCCTTTCATATAAAAAGATAATTGTAACTTAGATTGGGTTTCAGATATGTTTTACAAGTATCTGATGTTGAAATTGTTTACATATTTATTTTTAGCATCAGCTGACATTACTGCTGAAGTACTTATAAGCGCTAATGATGGCACTAAAGGAGAGGTTTACTTTCCTGCTGATTCTGCCAGGTAATCCTCAACCTCCTGAATATTTTTGCAGGGAACATAATCCTTTTAAAGTTATGTTTCATCTAACATGAAGGAACATGTTTCTATGGCTATTTCTGCATTTAGTTTCACAGCAAGCCATAGGAAGTGTAATTGAGAGGTTGATAGATATGGCCAATGATTTTTATAACCAATAATGACTTATTACAGGATTACAGTCAATGAAACCAATGTAAACTTCTCCCTGACCATAGTTCGAGGACGTGGAACATTTGGCAATGTGTCTGTGTTTGTATATGCCAGGAGCTTAGGGGAGGGAGCAAGGACAGAACAGGACTACTCTGTGAAGACACAGGTAATTAACTGGAGGTGATAACTTATCATCTTGTCACAGTCAAATTTTACACAAATCATGAGTAAATGCATCCAGTCCTAGTAGTAGTTAATGAGAAATATAATTGAATCAAGTACTCATCAAGGTTTGGTCAGTAACTTGTGAAAGGTCTCAAATTGAGATTTTTAATTTTAATTGTTGTTAAATAAATAGCAATTTCCTGTATTTGATTCTGAATCACTTATATTCCTTACATTCATTAATGTTGTAGAGTTGTTTTTTCACTTTATGCATCTGTACTTTTGATACCTATAGGTCCATTTAAAAAAGTTAACATGGAAATTGTTTAAATAAGTAGTACTACATGTATTTTTGTAACAGTGAGATTACCTTATACTTCACAGGATGTGGTATTCCTTGATGGAGAAACCACCAAACAGGTTATGGTTCAGGTGTTTGATGATAATGAAGCAGAGGCAGATGAACAATTTGAAGTGGTATTAGCTAGCCCAAAGGAAGGTTTACTGTTGGGAGAGCCACACAGAGGTAGGTTCACCAGTGCTGCAGCTAACTTTCATCTCTTTCTGCTGTCACATTTGTTGATGAAAGAATCATATAATGTATGATACAGTTAAATTGATGATGTTTAACAAAATATGATTAGTTATATTTCAGATGTATGATATGGAGACATATTACAGTGTGCTAGTTTCATTGCTAGATTAATATGTCATTTTGATTTTAAAATCAATTTCATGGAACTAAAGATGATATGCTCTGTTTTATATGTACAAAAGTATTTTCTCTGACATGTTTCTTTTAAATATATCTTATGTTTGAAAGATAGTTTGAAAATTATGGTGTCTTACAAATAAAACCACTGGTAGATTTTGGTCACAGAATTGTGCATATTTGAATTTGTGTAATTTTCCTACTTTTCATGTGTTTGTTATCATAAGACCATTTCATGATTGTTGTAACTCTCTGTGCTAATCTTGACTTTACCTTTGCTTCCTATAGCTCTCATAACCATCCTTGGAAGTCTTAGTCTCACCACTCCTGTGAGCTTATCTGCTAGTGCTACTACTACTACTACTGCCACTACTACAACAGCCATTGCTACTACTACTACTACTACTTCTAATTTCACACTACTAAATACCACTATAGTGTTATCAGCATCTACTAACTATTTACAACTAACATCAACAGTGTCAGATGTGCATGGTTTCGATAGTTTTACTGATGCTGCAACTTCCACTGCTCTGACGTCTGCTACAGTTCAATTTGAGACTACAAGCAGTTCCAGCCCCACTCCTTTTACTAACAGATCTTTAACAACAAGTACAAAAATTCTACTAATTTTACTATGAATAACATAAATTTAACAAGTGATTAGATTAGATATTTTTAAGGCATTTAATTAAATTTAACTTATATATTTCATTAGAGAACAGTGAAAATACTTATTTAATATTTTCTACAGAATGAAGATATTTTTGCATGTGTTAGTGTTGGATGTTCCAGTACACCACAGCTAAACTCATATTCTTTGTAACACTAAGAACCTTTGTCTTTGATCTTTTTCAAGGAAATTTTGCATGGGTGTAGAAATATTTCATACTTCATGCACAGGGAAACTGCAGAAAACATGATACTCACTTGCACTACATGTACATTTACTTCATGCATGGAATGAAGACTGATGTAGAAAGGCTCACAGAAAAATCTTCTCTGCCATGAAAAGTCAGGAGATATGATTTTATTTTATTTATATAAATTAGGAATTTATAGCTTGATATATTTTAGAACATATATTTTTAATTTTCCGTTTTGATGTAATCATGTTTATCTTCCATGGCAGAAAGGTGTAAATAAAAGATGGCAGTACCAGCCTTAAATGTTTCAGACTAGAATTGATGTTTCTATTTGTCATTCAGTGGTCATTCTTGTGCTCTCTCTTGCCTCCTCAACCCCTCTTCCCATGATCAATTTAAAACTACCTGAATGTTTCAGACCATCATGTCCATCTTATCTAAAATATCTGTTTCACATTAGTATATGTGTAGTAGTCACATTTCCATTCCCCCCTTTTCTGTCACACATATGTGCAACTTCTATTCATGCATTCATGACTGTTTTGATAATGTTATTTCATTTTCAGGCCTGCTATAATAGCGTGCACAATTCTATTTATATTGATAACTTTGAAAGTGTAACAAGTGCAACAAGCACTGTTTCATATCCCTTTTCTTTTGAAAATTGGAATTGCAACAATGATATATATATATATATATATATATATATATATATATATATATATATATATATATATATATATATATATTATATTCAGGTATATATATATAATAGAATATATATATACATGTGTGTGTATATATATATATATATATATATATATATATATATATTATATTCAGGTATATATATATAATAGAATATATATATACATGTGTGTGTATATATATATATATATATATATATATATATATATATATATATATATATATATATATATATATATATATATATATATATATCAACAATTAATTATTTCATGACACAGATTTTGAAAAATAATTACATAGCCTCTGTTATTGCTTTTGGAAAAAATCTTGTTTTACCCTGCACAAACAACAATTTTAAATCTAAAACTATGAATGTTACAGTAATCATAGAATTGCCTGTAAGTCTACACATATTTGATGCATGCATGCATGTGACCACACTCACTAGACACTACAATACATACAGTGTTTGCATCTACCAGTGTGCTAAAAACTGTTTATATGACAAGACATATATTTTTTTAATAATTCAAAGAAAAACTGAATACATGCAGGTCTTGGGTTATCTGTCTCTGGCTCATAATATGATAGTGGCACAAGTAGTTGCAAACACTGTTTTATACCTTGATGTGTGACTCAGTTTAATGTCTCGCCTGTTGTTTTCAGCTGTCATTACTATCACAGCCAATGATGGAGCTGGGGGGACTGTCAACTTTGACTCTGATGCCAACATCACCCTGGTGGAACCCACTGGTGCCAACACCCTGGGAAGCAAGGCAGAACTCAGGCTAACTAGGGGCCCTGGGGTGTTTGGGGTGGTGGTTGTGCCATTTTTAGTTCTGGCTTCCAAGGGTGGAAATGTCACTGATGTCACACCTGTAGATGGCTTTGTTACTTTTCAAGATAGAGAGGTGGGTGGATGATATTCAAAAAGAATACAAAACTAATCTTAGATGTTAAATAAAAATCAAAGTCATAGTACTTGTTTTGAATTCTGTTTCTACAGTCACCCTGCCTTGAGGAGAATGAGTTGTCAGAATGTACATGTATGTAAACCACTTAGGGATTGAACACTTGTTCATTTCTGATTGTAATCTTTAGCAACTGACCCCTGAAGGACTTTCTATTCACCTGGTCATTGTTAAAGGTGAACTTGTGAAATCATTAGGGCATATGTGAACTGGGTGACAACTGAAGTCTGACAGTCAAGACTGAACTATTGTCTCTATGCTATATAGTATCTTTGCCTCATTATTTTAACTGAGATTAGACCACGGTGGAAGTAAAGAACAAAAGACTCAGACATGGTGTAACTCGGGTAACCACACTTCTTGCATGAATGCATTATAACCCGCTAATGGACCCGTGCTCTAAATAAGATAGATCCCTCATCAGCGAGGGTTATGAGACATCTACTCGTGCTTTGCACTCGTGTATGCCAGATAACCCTCGCTGCCTCGGGGTCTATCTATTACTTGGAAATAGAACTTATTGTGAGCTGATATATGAGGGAGCTTCACCCAAGGAAAGAAGGTCAGTCAAAAGGGGAATGTTGATTTCACTTCATTTGTCTGTTGTAGTAGATGGGACTGCTTTAGCAGAAAAGTAATTGATTTAGGTGATCTGTGCAAAAATGTTTAAATAGCTGAATTTATTAACACATACTTCTTTCACTTTTGTAGGGCAGCAGAGTGCTTCAGATCTCAGCTGTAGCAGACAACATTCCTGAATTACTTGAGGCATTCACTGTGATTCTGGGACCACCTCAAGGGGGAGCCACATTAGGCAATGTCAGACATAGAACTATTTTCATTGCTGAAAATGATTCACCTTATGGTTTAATGCAGATATATCCTATGGGAATGAGGTATGCTTATATATGTTTTGAAAAATAAAAAAACACTGTTTATTTCTAAGTTGATGGTGATTTAGTGCCAAATGTCGATGAACGTGCAAATCATACTCTTTAGTTTCTTAAAAGATGATATTAATTTTTTGATATATACTAATTGTTTTTTTTAAATAATTAATAATGAAGATATGTACCTTTAAATTCTAGATTGAAAACCTATTTGAGAACATCCAGTAAAAATCAGCCTCTTCTAGTCCCATTTCTTTCAGAAATAGTAGCATAAGTGTGGGTCAAGTCCATTAAGTTCTAGATTGATGACCTATTTGAGAACATCCAATATTAATCAGTCTCCTCTAATGCCATTTTTTCAGGAATAGCAGCATAAGTGTTGAAGAAAGTGTGGGTCAAGTTTACTTTGAAATAATTCGATCTCAAGGCCTTCTTGGTCGTGTAACTGTAGATGTCGCCACCAGGTCTGACAGTGCACAGCAATCCCAGCTTGTTTTTGGTGTCAACCTCACCCTATCTTCTACACAAACCATAAAGTCCACAGGAGCAAGTAGTTGGCACAGTTTCAAGATGGCAGACATGAGCTACGCCTTGTTGGTGAATAGTCATAATGCTAGAGGGTTCAATACAACCATAGGGAGTGATGGTTCTGCAGGATTCTTGACTGCAAATGATATACGTACATCTGTGATCTATAGATGGCAAGGAGTCTATGTGCCCATACAGGTAATTAATGGAAGGAGTGCACTTTGACAGTATTGCTTTGGGCTTCTTTGCTAGTCGGTTTGGTATTGTAACTGATTACGTTTTTCTGCTGTCTCAATTATAATGTGTCTGAAACTGGATTTAACAATATTTTTTCATGACAATAACAACAATAACAATATTTTTTTAAGAGCCTAGATTTTATGTTTTTGTTAGTGCATTTCAATGTATATGGCATATGGTGAAAAGTTGTCTTTAAATTTTTATTGATGTACTAATTATTTATTTTGTATTGTTCATTTTATGCATTGATTGATTGTTGTTTTCAGACTATTGAAACAGATGGTGGTACCAAAGCCACCTCATTCACATATACAAGCCGTGAATATATCATCATAGCTAACCATGGTAGCCTGGGGAGATATGAGACTTATACAAGAGTGTATGCAGTACTGGATTCTGGGACCTTACAAGTGGTAGTTAAACAGTTATTATAAGTTGATTTAAGCATATATATTTTATAAGACATATTTTGGCACTTTAGTCTCCAATCTTCTCCTTGTTGAGGAAAGGGGGTGGTGGTGTAGAACTGTTCATGGTTACTCTCCACATAAGATATCTCTGAGCACTGAATGATATATTGGGTAAGTACTTTGGGCAATTTCAGTGCATGTCCCATGTTTCAAAGATGTCAATTTGTACCCCAAAACCTTTACTTTTATTAATATCCTCCACTAGCTTCAAGACATTCCATCCAGAGGTGCCAAAGATGTTACAGTGTTCACAGCAGGGGGGCAGAATTACCTGGTGATAGCCAACTATATAGACAATAACATGAACACCAATATAGACAGTGCAGTATACCAGTGGGATATGAACAACAGGAGGTTTATTAACACACCTGTACAGGTATTATATGATAAGGAAACCTTTGATTGATCAGTATATTACATAAGACATATTTTGGCACTTAAGTCTCCAATCTTCTCCTTGTTGAGGACTTAGCATAGAGAATTCGAATGTAAGATTTCTCAATTTTGCTGGTTCAGGAAATTTTGAAGAATTAACTTTTTGTTGCATCTGTCGGACTTGATTGATGGATTCATATATTCAAAAAAGATTTATAAATGTGAAAAATGTAAACTTAAAAGTTTGAAAGTGAAGACCTTTTGCACACATGATCTGGGATTTGTAGTAAATACATACAAATATTATTTGTGTTTTTTAATTTACAGATGTTGTCCACACATGGAGCTTCATCTGTGACCACCTTTGAAATATCAGGGACCACCTACCTGGCTGTAGCTAACCACTATGATTCCCAGCAGCAAGATTATGAAATAGAGTAAGCGACAGTACTATAAATGTACACTTTCTTTTCTTTGAGCAAGTTTTCTTTTAGAAAAAAATTAGTTTTACTTTGAGTTCGATTGTCAGTGTGAAAAAAAGTACAAAGTAACAACGGTGGAAAGTGGTGGTTTAGTATTGGTATTTTGAGATCAGTTAGTTCTATGGATGTGGAAGAAAAGGTTGTATGAAATCTCATGATTAAGTGCATGATGATTACATTGGGATTAGTCTCTATAAATATTTTGCAATCTAATGTGATGAGCATATATTATGAAATATGAAGGTTCCCTTAACTTTTTTTCAGTTCTGTGATTTTCAAGTTTGGAACAGACAACCGTTTCACTCTTCACCAGTCAATTCCCAGTAAGGGTGCAACTGCAGTGGAAGCCTTTACTGTTGGTGCCACCACCTATTTAATGATTGGAAACAATAGGAATAATGCTCAAAACAGCCAACAGATGTCAGCACTTTACAAATGGGAAAATAATGCCTTTGTAAAGCAGCAAGATATCACTACCAATGGGGTCCAGAGTATTAAGTCATATGTAGCCAATAATGGTATACGTAAGTAACTGATATTGAAAGTGCTTTCCTGAACTCTTTTTGGTCACATCACACATCAGCTTGGAGCTACTAGTTGACATCTGGTAAACTTCAAAAAGATTTGAGAAAAGTAATTCTAGTATGTTTTGCAAAAATAATGTGAATTTTTGTACTCCTTGTTTGTGCTCATATCAGATGTGATTGTTTTAATTTACAGTCGAGATTGTTAACTGGGATTTTATGCCCTCATTTATTCAGAAAATGTTTAATAGGAACACATTTATCTACTTTGAAACATTTGATTTGACTCTAGAATAATGTATATTTCATAATTTCAACTCTCGTCATTTCAGGACAATTAGCTGTTGCAAATGCAGAAGGAAATTCACAAATCCTGATCTGGAATGGTGCCAGGAACCAGTTAGATGTGACCTGGACTGGACCCCCTGCAGTGGACCTTCAGCCAATCAGAATTGAGCAAGAATCAGGACCAATCACACTCATTGCAGAAGCTGCAGCAGGCACTACATTGAAAGAGTCCCATTTATACCTGACCTCTCTACTTGGGGATAGTGATTATGTTCCAAGGTATGCAATTTATTTGTCAATTTTGATACATTCTTATGGTCTCAAAGATAAAAACATCACACAATAAGAATAACTGTGTACCTCCTATATCAATTTATTTGTCATTTTTTTGATAATTACATAGTTTACAGTACTTTGTGAGGCCTCGTCCTGATTGTATATTAGAAAAGTTTTTGTTCTTTTAAACTGATTAAATAAATTGCCAGCCCATATGTACTAGAAAACATTTAGTTAACATAAACATTTCAGGAACAATTTTGTGTTTGTTAATTTTACATATGGTCAAACCAGAGCAAACGGCATTGTAAAGCTTAAAAGAATGCGTTTGAAGTATTTTGAAAATTTGTGAGCAGGAATGTCACATGCATATAAACAGTGTTGTGATACTCTGCCTTTGTTGTGATCTTGTCTTCAACCCCTTCCTTTAATCCTTCCTTATTCAGCCCTGTGTTCTTTGGAGAATCCAGGCAGGTCATCCTGTAGTTAGACTGCTTGTACATTTGTGATAGTTTTTTTTTTAGAATAGTTATTAATCATCCTAACCTGTGGCATTTTATCCAGATATGTTAATATTTATGATGATTATGTATATGCTTAGAAAGCAATTTTGTTTGCAATTTTTAATTTGTTTAGCTCCTGCTACTTGGTGCATGAACTATGGAAATGACCCAACACTGTCTTTTCATTGGCGTTTCACATTCTAGTTGACACTAACTTGAAAAGAGGTTACTTATATTATTAAGGACCATAAAACTCAGCATTTACAAGACTCTCATGATACTTTTTGATGAGGGTATGAATATGTCACCTTGAACTTTAAAAGGTCAAAAAGGTCACCTCACCCTTAAATATACAGTAATTTGACCAGAGGAGAAACTGTGACCACTAAATTTGGCAAATATAACTCCTTCATTGTGAACAAGAAACCACGCAGTATCTAAGGTCTACAAGCACTTGGCAGGAGCTTTTGACCTCTTTGGTCACTACACTTTTCTAGGTATTGCTAGTTTTGTTTATGAAAAGCAAGATAATAATGTTTTTTCTGCATTTTTACACGTATATTATGATAATATCACTTTATTTATGAATATATATAGTAGAATAATATAAATCATTCTATTAGCTCATTTTAACTAACTTTGTTTTCAGATATTTTGCTGTGATTAAATTTTAGCAAGACTGCATATTGATGTTTCTTTGAGAAATATGAAATTATTAGTAATTAATTTGGAATGTGCCATATAGTTTGCTTTAAATGTTGATATATGCATTTCATTATATATGATATATAAACCTTGTCCTGCACAGAATAACCCTCACTACAAGAACAGCACTTTTGCATTTGATCCAGTGTTTATATGCACTAGTGTAATGGTTACAATGGTTTTAATATAACTGTTATAGTTTTTGAAAAAAAATGCCCAGCTTTTATCAAAGTGCATTCTGCAAAAAGAAAGAAAGGGGAAATTTGGACACTACTCGTCAGGTTAATTTTTATATTTAACACTATGGCCTGAAGATACAAGCAGCTTAACCATACTTAAAAACCATACTACTTAAAAAAAGTTTTTGCTCTCGTTATTTGATTCTAAATGACTGAATTTATATTGTTTTTTGTTCTGTCCTTCTTACAGATAGAACACATCAACTTATTTTACTTACAGACAATTCACAGTTTCTTACTTTACTGTACTTTCATGATTATCTGATATAACTGATTTTTGATATGATACTAGGACCACAACATTGATATTTGAACCTGGCAGAAGAAGGCTGGAGACAGCAATCACTGTTCTGGAGGATGAACTCCCAGAGGACACCGAAACATTCTATGTCTACCTCCAGAATCCCCAAGGCGGGGCAGAGCTGGGACCACACAGGGAGACAGCCATTCATATCCTGGCTAATGATAATGCCTATGGGATCATCGAGTTTGCTGATGTAAGTTTTTGTGGTTGTGGTGATATTAGATGAAGTTTTATTCTTTTCAGTAGTGATGAATGTGCTCATCAAGTATTAAACCATAAAAATATAATTTTAGTCTTTACAGATCAGAAAGTTCCAACTTTTGGAATATAAAAGTTCTGAGAGTTTCCATAATACAATAAAATAAAATTAGAATGGTGTTTCATATTCAAAAAGAAAGAATGAATTTTGGGGTGGTACAGTATCTATTACTGCAGACATTCATACTTTGAAAAATCAGTTATGTTTTTGGCAGTAGCCAATGCCTGTCACATTAAACTAACCCATGCATACATTCCATAATAATAGCTAATAAAAACCTCACTGTACATGTGATTGTGAAGAATTTAAATTTTATTTGCAACTTGAATATACTGATGTACTTTTAATAGGAAATATCATTTTCTTTGCAGGACTCTCTGGTGAAGAGAGTAGAAGAGTTAGATGGCCGAGACAACAGAGTTCAACTCAATGTAGTCAGAACCAGGGGGACAGTAGGATCGGTCATTGTGCACTGGACAGCAAGTGGTGACCATAATGGACAAAGTGACATCTCACCACTAGAGGGCACTGTAAGCACTTTAAGCTATGAACTTAACATACTATCAGATGATACATGAACTTTGAAATAGGATATAATGACTATTATCAGTATATCTAAACTTTCCATCCAAAAGAAACAAAATTCATGTCCCTGTATATCTGATATCATTGAATTTTCATGACCTAGTTCAGATGGTTAGTCTGAGTAAATTTTTTATTGCGTTATGTGTTTCAGGTTGAGTTCCCCCCAGGCCAGTCTGTGGCTACTATCACACTGACCATCAAACAAGACACTGATCCTGAGAATGATGAGCTGACTTTTATCACATTGGACAGAGTAGTGAACTCTGGGTCCGCAATCCCTGGAGAGGGAGCTACTATTGGTTAGTCTTATCAATTTGAAAGATTACACTTGATAAATTCTTGCTTCTTGCTTTTTATAGTTCTTACTAGTTGGCAGAGTTTTTGAATTGCAGATTGGAAAACACAGTGAACTGTTTTTAACCTCTATTATAATACTAAATAAATTATTATAATTAATAAATTATTGAACATTGTCAGATAGTGTTCCATGAAAATCCAATGAATATTTGTTTAGTGTTCATTTCACACACAGATAGCATATGAAATTATGTACCTTTCATTATTTCCCAACGTAACTTTTGACTGAACTTTTGAATAAAATATGCTGGCCAGCATGAAAAATTTTCAAATGATTACATGTACATGTATATCACCAAATGTCTTGATTGCTCCAAGCGAGATTATAATTTACAAGAGCACCTGAATTAACAAGGGTACAATTACATCCTTCTGATTATGCAAGTTCTGAGTGCATATTTAAAACCATTCTTTTTATATCTGAATCCAACATCCCTCTTTATATGATTGCAGGAACAAAACAAACCTCCCGTCTGACTGTGATAGCAAATGATTCGCCATATGGTGTGGTGTCATGGCAGAACACTAGTATCACCAGTGTAGAGCCCACAGTGGATACAACTGTGTCTCTCGTTATTATCAGAGAGCAGGGGGCACAGGAGGCCATACAAGTTGCCTACATGT